CCCAAGGTCCATTTTTTAAATACCATAATAGCAACTTTTATTTTACACTTGATTTCATGATTATAATAATCCATCCCCCAAAAATAAAAATATTCTAAAAGCTAAGTAGTCAAACTTTAAAAGACAAACACAAGGCCAAAAGAAATTTTTTTTTGAACTTAGGGTACCTGAAGCCAAACACATACCTAAGACCTTTCCAGGATAGGAAAATATAGCCAAGTGAAGATGGATAGATCATAAAGAAAAGACTCCTGTTGTCCCTTACCTAAATCTCATGCCCTTTCCATTGACTTTATTTGTTTATGAAGTATGATCAAAACATGCGTGGAATATTTGAATTTTTTTTTAAATGTATTACAGTAAGAGACACATTTTCATTAATGCCTCTCAAAGTATTCCCCTTGCCTCACTTTGAACATATCCGTCGTATTATTCCTACCATTTTCTGAAGTGATTTTAGAAGTCCTTTTTGTATGAATACCTTTAGTCGTAGTGTGTAGTCCAGGAGGAGGAGCCAAGGGGTTGTTCACTCCAGATGGCACATCTTGGGAGGCAATGTTATTGGCCAAAAGGAGAATTATATTGCAACCATGTATTCCACTCAGAGATGTTAGGAGGCAGCAAACTGAAAGACCACCCAGGCTGCACAAACTCTGCAGTACTACTCAGTTGCTATAACTGCCTCCATGTCCTGAATCAATTCAAGGCACTTACTTTTCATGGTCATTTGTAGTGTAAAAAAAAAAAAAAAAAAGCCTATTTGTTAGTGGCCTGGGTAATAGTTCCTGTTAGAGTTCTTCTTACTTCTGTCTCCTAGAAATAGCTGGTCCCTGTGATGTATAGCAGGTCACTGTGGTGGGTATTATAAGAGCCAGTCAAAGACAGCCAAGTACTCTTCTCCTTGCTTTCAACCCCATAAGAAACACCCTCCCTGAGACCTTGGGGCCTGATATTTTGGGAATGATCCAATTGGTGCCCATCAGCATGAAAGAAATCTGCCTCCAAATCCTCGGTGTCGTTGTGGGGTTTCCACTAGCTGCTGCAATGTTTACTTCACAGAACAGTCAGAAGTCACGTGGCGTCAGCTCAGGTGAATATGGTAGATGAGGACACTGGATGCTTTTACAAGCCTGTTTTTCCAAAACTGGATGCATTTGATGGCATCATTCGCTGTACTTTGACTCCACTTTGTAAAGACACAAAAAGAACTTCTTGAAAAGAGGGCAAGAATGCTGTGATGGGTGTTCAAAGCAAGGGGAAGTATTTTGAGGAGAATTAATGCTGAAAATGTCTCTTAATAATTTTTTTAAATTTAAACATTTATTATGGATTTTTATCATACCTTATATTTACTGTGACAAATCAGCAATTGGCATTTTTTTTAAAAAAAAAATGTATTTGGTTTAGGGTCTCACTACGCAGCTCAGACTCATAGTAATCCTCCTGTTTTCAGCCTATATTCAGCACTGGGATTACAGGCATGTGCCACCACACCCAGTCTCGGTGGTCGGCTCAGTGCACTCAGGGGCAGGGCTGGTGCGGCATGTGGTTCCCAGGATCAAACCCCAGTTCCTGCACTTGCCTAAGCAGACCCTTAGTCTGCTGAGGCTCATGGTCCTCAGCAATCATCCTAAAAAGTCCTATGCCACATTTTTCTAGGATTCACTGACTTTAAATACTTCCTTGGCTAAGAACTTTTCTTAAACCTTATTGCAGTAAGATAGTTGCATTTGTGGTTAGATGGATGCACAAAACAATTTATATTTACATAAAAGAAGATGACAGATGTTTCCTGGGTGTTTGTTGTATATTAGCTTAATGGCAATGTGTGTGCCTGAGGAGCACAGTGTTAGGAAATAGATGTACAAAACAAGAGCATCTTCCCACAAACACTGTCTGAGAAAGGCAGCAAGCGCAGCCTGCTTAGAAACCAACACTTTCATTACTTACCCTACACTGATAAACTGAGGGTCTCTGCAGAATATATAAATTTTCTATTACATTTAATTAATTTTAAATATCAGCATCCAGAAATGAAGTTACCCAAGGAGGTGTATATGTGAAATACAGCCCCTTACTCCAATGCCGCCTGCTCCAACACCTCTTCCTTCTTTCCTCCAGCTGAGCCAACTAAGCCATCCCAAGACACAGCCTTTACTGTCTTACATAGACTGCATCAAGAAGTATGAAAGATTTTTCAGGCGTTACTAAATCTAAATCTCTAAGTGTAGCCTATATAATCTTGTTGGACAAAGGCAATGTTAACTTGGTGCTACCAGAAGATTTTGCAATTTTTAGCTATTAGAAAAGTTCTCTTCAGAATAATAAAATCCAGTAATGGTATTATAAACACCCTGTGGTATACCCACATACAGACAAAATGAGCTATGTACCCATAAGTGATCTAATAAACAAGTTTCCAGCATAAACTTTACTGATCAGATTAAAAAACAGATCAAGAAAACTTAAGTTTAAATTTCAGTTGACACTTTATATGTTGGAAAGAGAAACATTAACAGAATTTCAAGGAAAATTAATAATACTTCACATAATAGGTGACCAATAAGGTCTTGATCCTGCTAGGAATTGTGATTGGCTTTGATTTAGGAGCCAACAACATACAATACAAGCTAATCCTCAGGCAACAGTACTTGCCATTCAGTAATTATCTGCAAATGGAGAACATGCAAATGAAAGATAAATAGACCAGAAATGTTAGCAGACCCTGAGGAGTTGATAGGATAGGGAAGCAGGGAGCTGAATAACTCCAAGACATGATTTAGAGAGCAAGTTGGTTGGAAATATAATAGGCCCTAACCACGTAAGGGTCAAACCTTTCATTGTTTGCTAGGTAACAAACACTGAATAGCAACCATTTCACTGAAAAGCCCAATTTTTCTCACTCCACCCTGGGGAGAAAAGAACTACAGTATGTACTTGGAAGGAAATAGCTGAGGATGGATGGAATGATGTGGAGGGGCGGGGAGACTCTGAATGAGATGCTCTGAGAGAAGTCAAGGATAGCAAGAGGCTTCTGGGGGAGGGAAGAATAGCAGCACCGTCTCCCTGCCTACACACACCAACTAGGGCTACATGGAAGTCATGGTTGGCTCAACTGCCGGCTAACATCACCATTGTTCCACAGGCTCCTGCACCACTCACAGAGCAAGGGTAGGCTAACCAAAAAGATTTAATCCCCAATGTAAACAAAAAAAGAAGTGAAGAGTTTTGACTGTGAAGCTTTCTTTCTTCTTTTTTTTTTTTTCATTTTATGTATACAGTCATATATTTTTTTCTCAGATGCTTGAAAAATACAAGGGGGAAAAAAGCTAAAATCAGAAACAGTGTAGAAACAACTTCTTCCATGGTTTGTCTAAAAGAATCAAAGACTTGTTTAGAAGATTCAATTGTCCAATCCTGCCCCTGCCTCCACATGTCTACTACAGGGGTTTCCCAGATGTCTGGGAGCAATATTTACCTCATCCCTGGAAGACAGGGGGTAGGAGTTGAGTGCTGGGAACAGGTGAAAAGGCATCTACCCAGAAGGGGTAGGTATTTCTCCTGAAAGGATGACCTGTCACAGGGTGTGGGTCTGTGTATCTGTCTCTGTGTATGCATGTAGTGAAAAGCAACTTCTATTTTCTTTTTTTTTTTTAAGTTTCTAAAACCAGAAGGCAGAGAAAAATCAGGGCAAATAAGTAAAGGCATTATTATACACAAATAAATGAAATACATATTTAGTATAAGCTCTATGCATGGAAGATTGTGTGTGTGTGTGTGTGTGTGTGTGAATGTACCTGTGGATGTGTTTATTGTTATTATCCAGCACCTGTTACAATGGGGCACAAGGTGGGTGTTCCATAAACATAGTTTAATTTATTATCTGAAGGTAATAAAAGTCAGTGAGGGCTGGGGAGACAATTCAGTGGTCTAAGTGCCTGACTGGCAAGCTCAAGGACCTAGGTTCAATCCCTAGCAGTGCATGCCATGCCATCCCCATGCTGAGCTGGCCACTGAAACCAAGTGTGGTGGCATGTCCCTGTAATCCCAGCACTGACAAGGCTGAAACAAGAGGAACACTACAAATCTGAGAGTCTGAGTTGTGTAGCGAGATCTATACCAAATAAATGAATAAATAAAGTATTAAAAAAATGAGGATTCTGACATTGTGTTTCAATTAAAAGGCATCTTCTCTGATGCTTCGGGTCAATACCTCAAATTCAGCCTCATTCAAACAACAGCCAATGTAGACATCTTCATCTAATCTAGTAGGGAATAGGTAGATATATGATACATTTATTTAAAGATAACACTAAAAAATGAAGCCAAGTACGGAAAACTTTAAATTAGATCTGAGAGAGGACATTTTACGAAGTGGTCTGTGGTACATAATGAGGTAATCAATTCTTGAATTTACATGATAATCACACTCCTCCTATTAAGTGTCGTAAACAGACTTTGCATGTAACAAGCTGTGATCAACTACATAATACGTTCAAGTGTTTTTCCTTGTGATGCCAACATTTGTTTTAACATTTTCTTATACTGATTTCTGTCTAGTCCTTTCTTGACGTCATGGTTCTTTCAGAACAATCTCATGACTTCTTCCCAAATAGCCATTTTGATATCAGTAGTTCTCCAAAATGCTTCCAATTACTACAGAACAAATAAGAAAGCTTTGTAGCTGCTAAATAAACTAATCCTTAAAATAACAGAAATAAGTAAAACAATAATTGATGTAACACAGGCTTAAAATTCCAGTCCACTTGCCTGTACTCAGGAGGCTAAGGCATGAGGATTGTTGCGAGTTTGAGACCAGCCTGGGCTATAAAGTGAACTCAAGGCCAGCCTGAACTGCATAGTGAGACCCTGCTCAAAAGTAAAAAAATAATAATAATAATAAAATAATAAGAAGAAAGTTCCAGCACACAACCAAAGTAAGGTGTTCTTGTAAGGGTTTTATTTACCAATTTACTCTACTTACACATTCATTTCCTGCAGATTCTCAGCTGCAAAATAAAAGGTCTTGATCTGTGGATGGTTGATCTTAAATGCACTTGGATGGGGGAAAACACAAGCACATAACAATTAGTGTTTATAAACATCTAGGGGTCAGAAAAGAAATCCATCAAATAGAAGCACCATAAAAGTGTTTTCTTCTTAAATTTACAAACAATTTGTTGCATAAAATATATACTGCCCAGTCCTTATTTCATATATCATTCTGTAAGTCAGTTTAGCATATTTAGACTGACACTTAGGTAGTCAGTAGTTTCCATTTAAAATATATGGGCAGGGGGCCTGGCCCTAGCTCAGGCCTTTAAGTGGCTGCTTCCACAAAGCTGTCAGCCTCAGGTTGCTGGAGTTCGAACCTCACACCTCTCCCGCTGGCCAAAAGTGCCCTGAAGGTATTCGAGGAACCAAAAAATAAATAAATAAATAAATAAATAAATAAATAAATAAATAAAATATATGGGCATATCTATTTCTTTTCAATTATTAACTGCTTTACTCTAAATATATAATAAATCAAGTTTGATAGTCAAAGGGATATTACTTCAAATATTTATATTAAAGTTTTTGTTCAAATTAGATCTCATGTACGCCAGAGTTTTATTCATAAAAATAATGATAAATAGACTTCTGCACCATGACAATTCATCAGAAACCTGTGTGAGGCACTCTTTATCAATAAAGGCAAAATAAAAAGGTCGCTTTTAGTTTGAAGAACAAATTTAAGACTTTGCCCATAACAAATAAAATGCCTACACTTTATCATGTATATGAGAAGTCCCACAGGACAAGACAGTTGTTTTTTATATAACCAATCAAAAACCACAAAAATCAACACAACCCATGTAACATGGCACACATGTTGCTATATCAGAGTGGCAAAGAACTAAAGCAAACAACTTAGTAACTGTCTTACAAGGAAACAATAATTTGCTGAAACTAAAACCATAAGTCAGGAGAGAAATGTCTCATCAATAAGACTGGAAAAGATATCCAAAGTGGAAAAGTTATTTTAAAAGTCAAAGACAGCATAAATGTACAGTAACAGTAGGATGCTGCCCTGAGAAGAGCCCCTGCTTAGGATCCCAGAGACCAGAGCACAGAACCTGGACTCCTCTGAGCTCTGGGCTGCCAACTGATTCCCCAGGTTGTTCTACTTCCTTTTCTCAGCAAGGATCATGAGCTGGAGAGTGCCTCATTCCTGTCTGTTTTCAAATTTTTTAGGTTTAATCTATATACAAGTACAATCCCAAACATCTCAGAGAATTGAAACTCAGGGGTGCTACTGACAATGCCATGATGTAAGAGAAAATGGTTGCACTATTAGGTCTACAACTCTGATGAGACCTACTTAACTGTTGGTTCTCTTTACCAGGTCCAAACTTTGACATCTATCTGACCACCCTGCCAGTCCTGAAGAGGAATGTATTGTTCACTCCATCACTGGCACAATTAATAGCATTCATGGCAAGTCTTCAAGGGTGCTATAATCCCTTAAGCTCCATCAAATGAAATGCCGGAAGAGGAGGCTTTCACTCACCCCCACATCTCCACATCATCTGATGATTACACAAGGACACTACCCTGACTCAGTTTTGTGGAGGTTCAGAAATGACTTACTGCTTTTTCTTGCACTCAGATGCTCTTTCCACAGTGAAATCCGAAAGGTTGACAAATCCATCTGCTTTCTCTGCCTGAAATAAACACATACCACAAATAGGAATAAATACATCAATCTTGGGAATTATTGAAATTATGTAAATGTGATAGAGATGATGTAAATAAAATAAGGTAGGATAAATACATACCTCCTCTAATCAGCACTAACAAGGGACTTATTCTAGGTACCAAATTTATGATAGAAATTAATATTTTCTGATAAGCTGCCCAGAATCTCTTCATGAGATGTGGCATGATATAGCTTAGGCATGGTCAATATTGGGCAGGCACAGGGCCCCTGACCCCTTCCTGTCTGCAAGGAACCCACAAAGCCAGCCTATCTGAGACCTACTTCCTGCTGAGCTCATAGCCACCCTCAGCCTCATTCTCATCCTACTACCACAAACACATAAGGTGAAACCCATTTGCACCTTGATATGGTGGACGGAGCCCTAACTGTGGAGTCCGCAAATCTGTATTCCGATCATGGACCTACTTCTTGCTAATTGTTATGACTAAAATCAGAGTCTAGACAAATAAAACACATAAGAGACAATCAACAAACATTATTTCCTCTCCCAAATCTTCAAACAATGTCTGGAGGATTCAACTATACATCTGCATCCCACAGAAGAAACTTATTTCCAAAATCAATTCCTGTAAAGCAAAGACTCCAAGAGAAAATGACACAAGGACCTAGCAGAAATGTTGCTTTAAATAATCAAAAATGTCACCGGAAATGTAATCATGGTCCTATCTCTCTATGAACTTGTTAAGATACATGTCACGAATAAAGTTTAACTGAGCAACTGTGAAGCTGGATTGTTTGTCTTAAGTGGAATCCAAATCTCCTTTCATTGACACTGGTGTCTAAGAGTGGGGAAACAACTCCACAGATTAAATATAGATGAGTCAATGGCTTGAGGGTTATGAGTTAAAATTGTTTCTGAGAATATAATCTTAATTTTTAAAGTCAGATAGCTATGAAAAAATGCCATAGGTGCTCTTGGTTCAATTCATCATTCTGCCTCCTTTTCTTATTGCAACTAGCAGCACTTACTTCAACCTTCAAAAGAACCAGACTGTGAGACATTCAACCATAGTTCCATCCTCCATCTCCTACATGACTTGAGTCATTCAATTATTCAGTTCTTTACCTCCATTGCCTCCCTCTCATAAGTCAAAAGTTAATCCTGATATACTTCTCTCTTTAATATGTATATATTAAATAATATAATATATAGATGTATAATATACATTAATATATTTTATATAATGTATATATCACTGAGTGACTATACATATTTGTACACATATATACACATGTTCAAATTTATATGCATATTCATATATGTCAGATATATTCCACATGCACATAAAACTTATCTATTGATAGGCTGGTTAGTTATCACAAGGTGTTTATGCCACCAAAGAGAATACAAATTACTCAACATTTTATATGACACACAGTATTTTCTGTAAGTTCTCAATGTCAAATAGAAGCATATTTTTAAAAAACTGCTGTCTACCTTGGATTCCCTCTCTAGAGATTTACTGAGAAGATTCAAAAATGGATATAGTAATCAAACAAATACATGTACATATATGGTCACAGAAGCACGATTCACAGTAGCCAAAAGACTGAAAATCCCAAAGACCATCAAAAAGTGATGGACAAACAAATTGTCATATATCCATGTAATGGAGGATTCTTTGTGCATATTAAAAAATGAAGTATTAATACATACTACATGCTCGAAACTTGAAAACTTTATGTTAAATGAAACAGGTCACACACAAAAGCTCTCATATTGTCTAATTCTATTTCTTTCAAGAAACCAGCCTACAAAATTCAAGAAGACAGAACACAGCTTGGCACTGGGGAGTAATGAATGAAAACCAACTACTCAAGGTACGTTTTGGCATGATGAAAACTTCTGAGAACTAGAGAAAGGAGATGGTTGTACAGCGTGGTGACTATACTAAACTGCACTGAGTTGCTCCTTTTAAATTAGTTGATTTTATGTTACTATAATATAATAAAAGTATACTATAGTGAAGTATTTTTGTTAAAATTCTCATAACTGATACCATAGATATCATTAACCCTGATGACTTTCAAACTGCTACCTCCAGTCTTCTTTTTATTCCTCATTTGTTTCTTGGTTTTTTAGTTTTTTATGTATTTGATACAGGGTGTCACCACACAGCTCAGACTCATGGTGATCCTCCTGTTTTCAAGTGTCCCCAGCACTGGGATTACGGGCATGCGCCACCACACCTGGTCTCTGTGGCCCACTCAGCACACCCAGGGACAGAGCCAGCATGGCATGTGGTGCCAGTATCAAACCTTAGTCCCTTGTGCTTGCCTACGCAGGTGCCTAACCCACTGAGCTATCTCACCAGCCCTCTTTCAGTCCTCGTTTGACTGAACTTTAGCAACTATACTACAGCTGCTTTCCTCCCTAACATACCCTTTTATCTTGGTTTTCTCACAGCACCTTTCTGTTGCCCCCCTGCCTCTGCTTTCATGGGGTCTTCTCCATCCGTGTTTTCTTAGATCCGAGTTTCCCCAAGTTCTGCCCACAAACTTGGCACTCATCCAGGTACTCTCCATGGGTGATCGCACACGTTGTATGGCTTCCTGAATCATTGTACACACATTTCCAGCACCTATTCCTCAAACTGCAATTCAGCACTGGAGCTTCTGCCCAGATCGCTGCTGTCTAGTGCACTGTTCATATGGTATTCCACAGGCTCCCCAAGAGTGACAAATGAAAACCCAAACCGAGCATCTTGCTCCCTTATACAGGCCTTCTGCCTGCTCCTTTCTGTTTTGTTCTCTGCTTCAGAGAAAAATACTACCTCTGCCCAGATACCAAAGAACAGATTCTGAGGGGTAATCTCCCAGCCCACCTATAGTGTTAATAGTATCTGTCTCCATTAAAACTCACGTTGAGGATCGGCACCCAACGTGACAGTGCTAACTAACTACAATATGGAGGCCTTTAAATGTACCTGAGTCACTCAGAGAAATTCTTTTCTTATGACCTATTATTCCTTCAAGTTTGGATCAGAGTAGTCATTAAGAAGGGAAGGCACCCATATGTCTGGCATATTTTGCATGCAAACACTTCTCTTTCCACTTGTCTGCCAAGAACTGGGAAGTCCGTGGTCCTCACCAGAAGTTGAACAGATACCAGCACCATGACCTTGGGTCTCCAGGACTCTCAGCTAAATAACCCTATTTTCCTTTTAATTCAGCCAGGGTCTGGTATTTTGCTGTTGAATAATGTCCTAAGGTAATATGATCGCTGGAATCCATGCAGATAAACACAAAGTTGTATCTTTGGTTCATCTGTCACATATCATTAATGTACCTATGACCTTCCACCTCCATCAGATCACCACTAATATTTTCTTGAATTACTGCACATGTCTCAAGCTATTCTCCTTCTTTCTAATTCTCTCTCTCCATCCCACTGAGTGTTAAAGTCATAGTCACAGCAAATCTTGGCACCATGGGCATTGTTCATGTCATTTCTCTAGTTGAAACCCTACACAGTTGCCCATTGCACTTGGATAAATTCTGAGTGCCTTAGCAGAAGGCCTATTATGATCAAGCCCTAATTAGCACCACAATCCAATCTTTCCCAGTCCCTTTATTCATACTCACCAAAAAGAAACATAAAATTAAAACAAAACACAGTACTTCCATAGAGCCAAATGAAAATTGATACCCAATTTGTGAGATCTTTAGTTTCTCAACGATTTTTTCAGTACAAGAAGTCTATCCCAAATGACAATAGAAGAACCACTCAAAAAGTGCAACATACATACACTCGCATTTTTGTCTACTTAAAAGTAAATCAATATAAAAGATAAATTGTCAACCTTCATGTGGATGGATTCCACTTCTTCATACCTGAATTGACTATGATTCCTTTAAATAAGATCCCAAATAAATTTGACCATAACCCGCTCTGCGTTTCCTCAATTAATTTTCCCTTATAAGCAAAGACTTTTTCCTTTTTCTGAAGATATTCAAGTTGTATTTAAAGCCACAGACAACTGTGTCAAAAATGCTCCTTGCTTATTTGACTTGCAAAATGACTCCAAAATGACAATCACAGCCGGAAAATGCTGCAGGCCTGACAGACTTCTTTTCTCCTTCTCCTCCCCCTAGTTCTTTCTGATTCCTTGTTGCTTGTTACAATTAACAAAAATAACTGACTTGAAGAGAATCTCACCCCTTCCATGATCCCTAACTTTCTAAAATGTAACTTGAAAATTGTGCTTTGGTACCTGCACATTTCCCTCTGAAGCCTGATGCAGTAAAAGCCTTCTTCTCTTGCCAGAAGTATGACATTAACCCTCTACCTTGAGCAAAATTTCTCACCCCACCTAGCCTTAAATTCTGAGACAACTCTACTTTTCATTCCACCACGTTATGTTTCAGGATCAGACAGGGCCCTCAGAAATCCTCCTCCCCAGGATATTGGCCCAGCCACATCTCCTCCTGTATCTCTGATTTTTTTTCCACTTTGTGGAGCAACACATGTGCTTCTTACCACTGGGTAGCACTAAATTTACATCTTTAGTGAAATTATCAGTGCTAAAATGTCAGAGGGAAATGTTAAAAAGTAAAGATGCTGATCATCCCTCATGTAGGGAGTCATCTGTGTTTGTATTTCCCTGAAACACTCTGCTACCATTCATCTTCAGGGCTCTGGACCTTCATTTGTTCAACAAAGGACCCTCTTCACTTGAGGCACTGTGCCAAATATGTGGAATACAACCATGAACAAACCAGAGATCTCTGCTTTCCAGAGACAATACACTCAACATGGAGATATAAACTATACAGGAAAACGATGTCAATGAGCACAATGGCATTTCAGAGTATGAACAGGGAAGGCTGCCTCCTGCTGCCTGGCAAATTATTCTTTCCTGCCTCACTCCATAAGTAAGTTTCCAGAACCCTAGATGGGTTCTGCTCACCCTATGCTGGCACAGGTGCCCCCTGATTGTCCCA